AAGGGAGACCAAAGTCTTCTATATACATTACTAGATATCTTTGAGTACCCTGCCCTCTATAGATTTCTTTTTAGGGCGATCTATCAAATGCACGCTACCGACTAGCCATTGTTGTTTTCATTCCTACCACTAACATCATCCCCGTAACACTTCAAAAAATCTCACTTCTAATATACTTAAAACAATGGTTGGGACTTGTCTTCTCCACTAAATCACTAAAAAAGAAAAAAAAAAAACCACTCCAGCCCAAGCCCGACTTGAAAACTTATCAATAGCACAAAAATGACCCTCAAAATCCTTAAAACAAAACCAACATCCTGCTCTCTTGAAAGTGTACTCAAAATTGTTGGCTTTTGGGTCCTTGTGAGGTGGAACTATGGAAGTTTGAATGGCTCACTTAGATGACTTCCACAGTATGTGCCTGTGGATTACGTACATGGAAAGGGCGGGAAACCTTATCCTCAAAGATAAGTGAGATAACGATAGAGAGAGAGGGGTAGATAAGACGCACTGAGGATGTGGAGGTGAAGAAGAAACACAGAAGTGGACCAAACCCTCCTTGGTGCGCCATGGCGCTGCATGTGAGCCCCAAATGGCTCGCCGTCGAGCCCACCCACGGGACTCAGACCCGACCACGCAGCGCGGTGCGGGTCCGGTGCACCGCGCAGTCGTCATCTGCTCCTGCTACCAGTCCTTCATATGAAGAAGGGGAGCTTGAACGGCCACGATGGGCCGGAGAGACCCCTCTATCTCGCATTGTGGCCGCTATTATTGAGTTCAAGCCCCTCTACTCCATCCTCAAGTTCGGAGCCAGGCAGGTCTTTATCAGGTACACCGAGCATCTCCGAAATTTTGCCGCAACAAATGAAGCTTTGATAATGGGATACAGCGGAAATAATATCTGAAATTTCGGAAGAGGCTTTTGTCCGAAATTTATTCGATATAAAATGTGGTTTTGTTTCGAAATTCCTGAAAATTAGCTATGAACCTTTTAAAGTTTATTTTGTAAAATTGGGCATCCCAAATTTCAGCCTGTTTCTGAATTCTGACTATCGTCATTTTTGTCGATTTTTTTGTCTGAAATTTAGGACTTCAAAAAATTAGCTAAGTTACTAGACTCGGCCCAGGCTAAGCCCAATGAAAGGGATATTTTTATCTGAACCTTAGCCCCGCTTACCGGAGCAAGTTAAAAAAAAAGAAAAAAAAAAAGAGGAGCGGTTTGTATGGAGCCTAGGCTCTAAAAAATCAAGTTAGAGCACACCTTCAAATAGTGTCGAGAAATATAGTTTTAATACTGAAAATCTTTGTGATTGCCTTAAAATATATTTTCATCTTTAATTATAAAATTTAAAGCTTCAAAAATAGTGTAGATCAAGCAAATCTATAAAATTTGAAAATTGAATGTCCAAAAATGTGTTACAAGATGCACTATTTCCAAAACTTGAAATCCATTTTTTTACTAGTGTCCATGCATCTTGACGTCGAGATGATCAATTTGAGGATATTTGGGCATCAAAACAACCTCCAAATTTTTGAGGTGGGCTCTAATTTGATTGTTTAGAGCCTAGGCTCTATATATACTATTTCCTTATTTATATATTTGTATATGTACTCTTTGGAAGCAGCACAGCACAGAAAAAGGAGATCCCATGGGTGGAGATGAGGAAACAAATCATGTCTTCCGATGTTTACAAGGAGAAGGCTGCCGTTGAAGATCCTTCACTTGTCTATCCGGATTGTTAAGTATATTGCATCTTTATTGTTAAGTATATACTAAAGGAAAAAGTTTATATAAGGTTGCAACCTTAAAATGTAGAACTACAAATGCACCTCAAAAATTCATCGGAAAAGGTTGTTTTAATGTTTAAAAAACCTCTGATGGATCTTCTCGACATCGAGATATATGAATATGAAAGAAAAAAAAAAGATTTTTGAGTCCCAAAAATAGTGCATTTTACAAATAGATCTGCTTGATTTTAACCATTGTTTTAGTTTAAAATTTTATAATCACATATAAAAATAGATTTTGAGAAAATTCTAAGAACTATTTTCACCAAAAATACATGTTATGATAAAATTTGGAGGTGCACCTTAATTGGATTGTTTAAGGTTGCATCCTTATAGAAACCACACCCTATACTATATGCCCTCTATTTCTTGTAGAGAATTATACAATGATCCATGTGACCATAGAAGTCTATGATCATAAGTGTCATCGCCGTCCAATAAATGCAAGGATAGTGATGAAAGGAGTGGAACCACCTGATAGGTCGAAATCTGTCTCCATCTCTATCCATCCATTGATTGGACTATCAGTGGCAGGCTTTTTTTATCATAATTTTTCTCCCTTGGTCATATGAATCATCGCATGGATTGTCTCTCTTCTTCAAATGACCAAACAGCCGTGGCAGTAGTATCGCCGAACCCCATGATGAGGTCTATGACTCCATTCTCACTAAAAGGTAGAGGCCCAAATCCCCACGGACTTACCACTTTTTTTTAAAAAAAAATCTGGAATTTTGGTTGAAGTGCACCCAAGCTAAAGAGAATACAATTTTACTGGAATGCCCCAAATTTATTTTCCTAGCTTTATAATCTTGTGACCTTTACTCCCTGGTGGCCTCTAATGAACAAGGTTTGTTGATTTTCATGCAGATTATTTGAAGCCTTTCCATGCCTATGATGAAGGCAATCTCTCATGGCTGGTAAATCCTGATCTTTCAAACTTTAAAACTTAAACCCTCTTACTAGGAGCCTTAGCAGATCCTTATGTGATAAACGTGTATCAATTGTGAGATGAAAGCTCAAAATGTCATGGGAATTACAATCCGCTCTCATTCGGTGCCCCTGTCTAATGGTTGCAGGCAGCTGCAGAGGCGGAACCTGCAACCATGTCCATGGCTTTGAGAGCGATTCCTGAGGCTTCTTCAGCAGAGGAAGCTAACAGTGTCATGAGAGGAAATTGGCTTGATGCAATTAAGAGACATCACCTTCAGTTTGCTAAAGGTTGTGAAATCAAGGACATTTTGGATATCGGTTGCTCGATTGGTATTAGCACAACATTCCTTGTCGAGAAGTACCCTTCAGCTAAGGTCACGGTGAGTATGGTTTTGTGAATTTCTTATGCAAATTTTTCCCTTGTAAGCACTCAAGCATAACCATTAATGCTCATTTCACATAAACATATAACTCACGCATAATCTTAATAAGATACCTGACGATGGAGACTCTTGTGGTGTCCTTTTTCATTTGTTTTCCTTCTTCATGAGAGAGAGAGAGAGAGAGAGAGAGAGAGAGAGTGTTTAAATGGTTACTGTGGTTCCATAGATAGTAATATCTTATCTCTCACAATTTATACCAAATTTTATGTGAACAACATTCAGAAGGTAAATACATACACTTGGTATTTCTCATGTAACTGTTGTTTAATTCGCTAAATGTTTGTTTCATTTTATGTGACAGGGCCTTGATCTGTCTCCTTATTTCTTAGCCGTGGCACAATACAAAGAGACAAGAAGACCACCGAGAAAAAATCCAATTAGGTGGGTCCATGCAAATGGCGAATCCACCGGCTTGTCTTCGGCTTCATTCGACCTTGTCTCCTTGGCTTATGTGGTACATCTACACATTATAATAGCAAATAACCCCTTTTGTTTTAAACTCTCATACTCATGGGTTTCCCTCAGTACTTTTTCTGGTACTTTTTCTATATGGAAAGGCATAACATATACTTTTTCTATTGTTTTAAAATCCATTGAGCCAGTTCAGAACTGCATGTGCCGGCTCAGAACTGGTGGGTGGATAGTCGTGGTCTAAAGACCCAATGGACTTGCTGGTTCCCACCGGTTTTTTTTGTTCTTTCAATACAAAAACACCTCGAAGAACTGCAAGTAGGATGGGAACCAGCCAAGCTGTATCGGTTTGGCAAGTGACCAAGTTGGCCCTTTTTCTACAAGAAAAATACAAAGGAAATCTACATTGGAACCCCATGAAAGAAAGACCCATGTGATCTTTTATCGGGGAATACATTTTTTTTTTTTTACTTCACCCCTTTCTTTTGGTAAAAGATCACTTACATGTGGCCTTTATTATAATAAGATAAATTTCAAAATAAAATCAACATAACAATAAAATCAAGATCTTAACAACTTGGTGCCATTGAAACAACTATGCACTATGCTTGAGAATAAAAGATAAGATCGCAAGAAACAAAAGGAAGAGTGTCGGAGATTACCTTAACCGGGCTTATTACACCCCACACCGAGTCACCACAATTCGATGGTGCGAGATCAACGGTCTAGCTTCAATCTCGAACCGGGAAAGCAAATTTTGGCCAAGCTACACCAATGGAACATGAACCACTTTGATCACAAACTCTAACCCTAGGTGAATTCTCTTAGCAACCTAGTTTAAGAGAGATGAATTCTCTTTTTGCTAAACCCTAAAACCTTTAGCCATAAATCCATATTTGAGAGATAGGAGAGAAGAACTCTATAGCGTAAACCCTTAGGTTTTCTCACAATGTGAGAGAGAGATCAAACATTAGAGAGTGGTGTGTGCCCCCCTTTATGGGATATGAGAGAGAAAGATGGGAATTGGGTACAAGAGATAAAGTGTAGAGATTTTTGGGTAGAGATAATCCTTTTTTATAGGCTTTGAATAAGATTATGGTTTCTTAGGGTTTTCTTTAGCTTTCCTCTTCTTGTGAGCCGCCGATCAAGGGTGACTTGTGGGGTGAGAGATTTGAGCCATCCATTTTATAGATGGGCCATCAACATTATAGAAGGTGCATGAATCTTTATCCCCCTTTCTTAAACCATTTTCCGATCAATATATTTAAATAAAAGAAATATCATACATTCTATAAAATTGCACGATCCATATCACATATTCCATAAGGATATGTCAAATAATATCAAGTAGATAAATACTATCAAATATAAATAAGATAAGATCCATATCAATTCAAATTGACCATATCTCTTTAAAACAAACTTGCTACAAAATAAATAAAGCTATGGTCAATATATCCCTTCCAAGATTTGACCACATGCCACAAATCAAACTAACTTTATCTTAAAAGCAAACAAGATAATCCAAAGAGGGTGGGGCATGCCACCCTTTTGTGGCACATGTGGGCCCCCACCCACATCCCACATGGTGGGCCATGTGCACTATAGGCTCCCATGGAATATTATAAAAAAAATATTATTTTTAAAATTGAATAAAACAATTTAAAATATATATTTGAATTTTTATAACTTTCTAAGAACAATAACTGTATTTTTATAAGTTCAAAAATTACAAATAAAATATTGAGAGATTCATAAAAATTCAAATAATAAAATTAAAATCATTTCAATAATAAAATGAACACAATTAAATTAAGATGCTGGAAAAATGATCCATATGGTTTAAGAATCAACAATCATGGGGCACTCCACTTCAACTGTGGACTATAGACCACACTTGCTTTATGAGATCGACCCAGTGTTTCGCATGACCCACATTCCAAGTAGGGGCTCATTAACGGGTCACCAAAGTCAGGTCGATGAATCAATGGGTCGCAATCCCAGTCTGTGGATTACAGGTCCTCCCCTAGAGACGAGTCAAGGTCACCATGACCTGATGCGACCACAACTCTATGGCGCATAGGGTTATCTCTTGCACATGCATGTGCATCACCCAATGGTGGATATCTGGCTTTTCCGAACAATCTATCAATATGCATGCCGTGTGATGGAACATGGATGAGGTTTTGGCCCCCGTCTCAGTAGGTCACCATCACACACAAGGGTTACACAGTCTCTCGGCTCACTCATCCGGGCATATTTTTCGATCTCATCAAGGGCTAACCCATTAGAACCCTTCTCGGTTTATTCTTTATGCCCAGGTAATATGGGTTGTTTTCAATCGACTGGTCTAGATCGTCAAGCACAGTCCGGTATCTATAAATGCCGTTTGTTTAGTATGGTCCACGAGGGACCACACTCCCATTGAGTTCATGTTCTACTATACCCTTGCATTTTACAAGCACTTATAAGGCCTTTAAAGGCCATATGAACCCAACACCCTGACCCGCAATCACCTCTAAAAATAAAAAATGCATAGGACTATTTAAATTCCAAACAACATATGGGATTTCAGTTTTTGGCATTTAAATTTTTTGTGTTAGGTTAATGTGATGTTAATAAAGCTTTTTAAGATGAAGAGCTTTTTAAGATGAAGATTTTTATGAATGGTCCTATTTGCGAAGTGTAAATGGTTTTCTTCAATGAATCCGAAATTGTAAATGCAGATCCATGAGTGTCCTCAACGAGCGACCATTAACTTAGTGAAGGAAGCTTTCCGGCTGCTCCGTCCAGGAGGAATGATCGCAATTACAGATAACTCAGTATGAATATCTCAGTCTCAATCCCGAATTTCTGTATTTTGGAATTCAAGTTTTCATCCATAAAATGAAAATGAAGTGACTCAGTTCTTTACTATCTTAGGATTTTTGTCTGAATGCTTTGAAAAAGTGGTTGTTTTTATGCTGCAAATTGATTTCATGGTTTCATGTTCTTTCTTTTGGTTACAAGTTTCTTTAACTTAAATTAAACATGTTATAAGTTAAAAGTATTTGATCTTTTGACTTTTGTGGTTGCAGCCGAAATCCAAGAAGCTCCAGGTGAGCTGCCTCACTCTCCCTCTCTCTCTTTCTCAAAACTGTTATAGCTTCTTTGTATTTGTTTTTTCCTATTTTTCAGATTAGAATTTTATCGAATATGGAAATCCTTCTTAACAAAACATAGTAGCAAATATTGCCCCAAACAATAGCCAGGGTTCAAAATTCACTGATTACCGATTGAAATTCTTGAAATTTGTAGTAGCTGTTAGCCAATGATGAAATATGGGCCTCCTGTTCAATACTTGCAATGTTTTTTCTTTTAGTTGGCGTTTTCTTTTCTAAAATGGGTCCACCCAGTGTCTTTGCCTATTCTTCAATTTCATAATTTCACCATGACTAAGCCAAAACCTCTACAGTATAACCAAGGTTCATATATCGTAGTTTGTCTACACATGCAAAGAAGCTACCTAAATCATTTTCTGGTTTAACTCGGAACTGGTGGGTGACTGGCCCGAGTCCCTTTAAATCGGGATTAGGATCACCCACCCCAAAACTATATTAAAAAAATTAACATGCTAAAAAATGTTATTTTAGAATGATTTGAGGTTCATAAACCTTGTTCACCTTTTAGATTTTGTTTACATTTGAAAAAAAAAAAAAAGAAGCTCGTCCAATTTAGCGGAGCTGACTCATCAATTCAGTTAGCTCGACTCGGAACTGGTGTTTAACCTTTTCAACCCATCAATCCGGATTTTTAAACACTGGTCCAAGCTCATGAAACATAATGCTTGAAAATGACTCCAATTGATGTCTCAACATATCGTTTCTTGCTTTTGGTTAAAGGACTTGTCACCGGTCTTGTTCACACTGATGAAGAGCACGGAGCCATTTCTGGATGAGTACTACACATTAAACTTGGAGGAGACAATGAGGAGAGTGGGGTTTGTGAATGTGCAATCGCTACTCACTGATCCACGGCATAGAACAGTGACCGGGACTGTCCTCCTCAGTTGATGCTTGTATAGAGTTGCAGATTTCCTTTATTTCTTTATTCCCTTATTTGTGCATCCATTGATCCAATTAGCTTATCTATGAGATTTAATACTCGTTGATTGACAAATTTGTCCATGAAGACTCACATTTACCTGTCTCCATTGCTCAAGTTTTTTGGAGAGATGTCTCTCTTTTAATGTTTGATACAAGGGAATGTATAATATAAGGGAGTGCATTTTGTGAAATCGTTTGTCTTCGTATAAAAAAGTCATGTCACTTGGATCTTAAGAATACCAAGCAATGAGTTGGTTATTAGGTCATACTAGGAGTCGGTGCATCCATATTCCATAATTTTATTTTAATCCCAACTTCAAAGAAAACCGGATCTCAACCAGCCATATGCTAAGCATTGCAATTTTATTAAATGGGTTAGTCAAATCTTTATTTGACCATATAGAATTAAATTCATCATTTTTGAATGAAGGCAAAAGAGGGCAACAGTTTTTCGTTTTTATCCCTATCCGTGAAATAGAAAAGTCCTTTTATTCAATGTAAAATTGTGCATCTAAAAGTTTGCCATTTCTCTGCATGAAGATAGCATTTCGCGAGCGCGAGTAGTCTGATTTTACAACAGATAGTTATTGGATATGAACTTTTTTGCGTGCAATCCTTTACCAAACTTGGGGTTCTAATAGTCGAAAAAAAAGAAAAAGAAAAAAAGGAGAATAGCAGATGCTATTTCTGTGGGGATTTTATACTATAAGACGGACCGTTATTTCAGTTACAAGGAGGTTGAGGTTACTTTTAACCGTTAGGTGTCAAATTGTGTGACTTATTTGGATACAGTACAAGTCGTTGCTTATTTTCAATATTTCTATATTATATTGGGAAGTGATTGTGCTTCTTACCGTCATGTATTGGCAGCGTGTGGCACTTTAACATCGGAAAAAGTTTAAGTTTGACACCTTAAGTTGTAGAATTAAGGTGGACTTAAAAGATACGTCGAAATCGTTGTTTTGAAGTTAGAAAACCGTCTAATTAATGTCCTTCACATCGAAATGTATGGATTAATAATAAAAAAATAAAAAATTTAAATATAAAAAATGATACATCTTATAATATATTATCTGAACCATCCATTTTCAAGATTTTTATATGTTTATAACTTTTTGAGTTTAAACTTTTGTAATTACAGTCAAAATCAGGGCCATCCTAACAATTTACCACACCAAAGTTACAATTTATGACAAAGTTTAGAAGTGCCTTTACTTTGATTATTTAAAATTGCAACCTTATGCAAACCACACCCCTTAATACCTATGCGCCAACAAGGCTACTGGAACGTAAGGTTGGATATATTAATTAAGCTTGGCTTACATGGCTTGGGGATGAGTTCAACTTGAAAGGGCTTAGCTTCAGGCCATAAAGAAGCCTAGCACAAGTCATACTTCTAAAATACAATCGTTTTCCAAATTTACATGAATAAATATTTTATTAAACTACTATTATGCACATATTTCTGAAATACATTCATTTTCCAAATTTTTATATGTATAGATGTTATATTAGGTCATGATATTCTACCTAAATAGTAGACAATACCATTGATTATATAAATTACGTGAATATATGTTATATTAAACACCTATATAATTTGTCTTTGAGATTCATTAATAAAGAGTGGTACCTTTGTTAAAAGAAAATGTTATACTAAACAATATCATTAATGATATATTATATAATGAGCAAGTTTGAAAACTATAAAATAAAATGACGAATCAAGATTCGTTTAACTGCCCTCAATTAGTTGAAAAAAAACTTTGATGACGATGACATAGTAAACAAGCTTGAAGTCCTTAAAGTGAATTGAAGCCCCTGAAGTGAAGTGAAGTGAAGTCTCAGCTACAAGCCTACAAAGTTGATCTTCAAATACAAAACTTGAGTTAGGTCAGGATTGTTGAAAGTAATGCAAACATAGAGAAAGTATGTAACCCAAATCAGCAGAGCCTAGTGGGATTCATTGTCCACCCCATGTATCCATGACGTTCCTTGAAGATTTTGGATCACTCTCAATCCATCACTCACTCATAAATCGACAAGGTAGTAATAATAATAATAAAACAAGGATTTATGGGGAAATATTTTGAGGAAACCCAAGACAAAAAAAATAGAATGAAATGAAAAATGTGTCTTCCCCCAAGGGAAGGCTCCACCTGAGCTTGACACACCATGACCTTCCAACTTCCCAAATCCGTGTACTTGATTGACTCCCTCAGATAATCAATCTCGCTCCACACCTCAACTACAACCACAGCTTGTTGAAAGAAAGGCACTTGAAACGGCACCTCACAACCCTGTGGTGCCCGTACCTTTATCTAACCTTTTTTTTTTTTTTCAAGGTCAAATGAGTTGCTTGATAGAGATGTAGATCAGTAAGCATTGTTCCTCTTAGAAGTTAGAAAAAAGAACCGATAGCGTTTACTGCAACATAAGAGTAAAAGATCAACTATCAAACAAAAAAAGGAAGAGAGAATCAACACCCGTTTCCGGCAAAGTAGAAATTAACCTTTCCACGGATTCATCACATATTACATTCTGTAGAGAACGCACCACCAGTGGAACGCACCAGATCAAAAAAACCAAAAACTAAACAGACATCACCACATGCCACTGTCCACAAAACTGACGCATATTAAAAACTCATATTATCCATGATCCCCTCAGGAAGAACAGGGAAAAAGTCGTCCTCAGCAGGCAAAACGAAAGAGAGAACAAAACTATGAAAGAGAGAGAGAGATGCCAGGCGCCAATTGCTCAATTGCTTAATCAACTTCTTCCATCTTGCTCTCCTCATTGCCGTCTTCCTCGAGTGGAGGCATTTCAGCATCCTCCGCAACCTCTTCCTCATCAATGCTCAGACCTAACTTCAGCATCCTGTGAATTCTTCCTGAAAAAGTGTTGGGATCGTCCAAACTGAACCCAGATGTCAGCAATGCAGTCTCAAAGAGAAGCAACACCAAATCCTTCACAGACTTGTCATTCTTATCAGCCTCAGCCCTCTTTCTCAGCTCCTCCATTATTGGGTTCTCCGGGTTAATTTCCATGGTCTTCTTGCTCGACATGTAGCTTGACATGCTGCTATCCCTCAATGCTTGTGCCTTCATAATCCGCTCCATGTTCGCAGTCCATCCATACTCACCAGTCACCAGGCAGCAAGGTGAATCGACAATGCGATCTGAAACCACAACCTTCTCAACTCTGTCTCCCAGAATCTCCTTCATGGTCTTGCAGAGCCCCTCGAAAGCAGCCTTCTTCTCTTCCTTCCTTTTCTTCTCCTCCTCTGTTTCCTCAAGTTTCAGCCCCTCCTTGGTTGCTGAAACCAGCTTCTTGCCATCGTATTCCTTCAACTGACCAACCGCATATTCATCGATCACATCAACCATAAACAAGACCTCATACCCCTTCCTCTTCAATCTCTCCAGGAATGGGGAGTTCTCCACTGCCTTCTTGCTCTCACCAGTTATGTAATAAATATCTTTCTGCCCCTCTTTCATTCTGGTCACATAGTCTTTCAGACTTGTCATCTCATCTCCACTCTTGGTCGAGTGGTACCTGAGGAGGTCAGCTAGCTTGGCCCTGTTCTGAGAATCCTCATGGATACCTAGCTTAATGTTCTTAGAGAAGGCTTCATAGAATTTGTTGTAATCCTCTTTGTTCTCTGCAATCTCAAAGAACATTTCAATGCACTTCTTCACAAGGTTCTTTCGAATAACCTTAAGGATCTTGTTTTGCTGCAGCATCTCTCTAGAGATGTTAAGGGGTAAGTCGTCTGAGTCGACCACTCCCTTCACAAATCCTAGATACTCAGGGATGAGCTCCTCACAGTTGTCCATGATGAACACCCTGCGCACATAGAGCTTGATGTTGTTCATCTTCTTTCGAGTATCGAAGAGGTCGAAAGGAGCTCTCTTTGGAAGGAAGAGGATGGCCTTGAACTCAAGTTGGCCCTCCACAGAGAAGTGCTTAAGAGCAAGGTGATCTTCCCAGTCATTGGTCAACGATTTGTAGAAAGAAGCATACTCCTCCTTGGTGATCTCCTCTGGCTTTCTCATCCAGATGGGTTTCTGCTTGTTAACCAGAGTCCATTCATGGCTCACTTCCTTCATCTTCTTCTTCTTTTTCTTATCCTTACCCTCGTCATCTTCGACCTCCTCAACATCCCCTTCCTTCTTCTCCTTGTCCACTTCCTCATCCTCATCATCACTGACTTCTTTCTCAGTGGTCTTCTCAGTCCAGAGGTAGATGGGGTAGCTAATGAATTCAGAGTGCTTCTTGACCAAGTCCTTGAGCCTCCTCTCTTCAAGGTAATCTTGCTGCAATAACAACAAGGAAGAGTTAGTTAGATAGTAATAATAACAACAATAATAATAAGGCAACCATTGCCATGTCAATAGATAGGTAGATAGAAATTTGGTGCGTAGAGAGAGAGAGAGAGAGAGAGAGGTCCTC